AGGTCTGGCTCTGATGTCAGGATCCAGAGACCCAGCTATACGGAGAGGAAATGGGTAACTTCAGGAAAGGCTACGGAGGGACCTCTAGCTCTCTAGAGGAGGCAAGTATAGAAAATGGAGGAGGAGGAAGGACTGAGAAATCAGCAGGGGCCCCGGTGGGAGCACGGTCACGAAGAAAACCAAGGCCATGGCTAGAAGAGGCCTTGGGATGGGGGGCTGTTTGCATAGGCGCTGAGATGGGGAGGGGGGTCGGTGTGGATGCGCTGACCTCGCCGCCCAGGGTCTCCCCAAGAGCACTTTGGGGGAGTCCAGGTGAGGCCCCTGGTGCAGGTGGGTTAAGGAAGAGCCTCAGGTGAAGGCCGGGGAATGAGCATCATTGGGGACCATGAACCGGCAGCAGGTCCCGCCAGGCTGCCAGCGCCCCCGGCAGGAAGGGTGAGAGTGGTCAGCCGGGTGGCCTTGGAATTCTGTGTGAGTCCGGTGGGCAGTTGGGGGAGATGCAACGGAAAAGCAGGTGAGCGCACAGGCCTCGTGGTCCAGGCGTGTGGGGACCGTGCGAGGGGGCGGCCTCTCAGAGTACATGACCCTCGGGTAGAAGGAGAGAGAAGGCCAAGGGCTGCGGACCAGGAGAGGGAAAATCACGCCGACAAGGCCAGGCCGGGCACTGTTCCCGCCGAGGCCGCACGGAAAGCCAGCGTCACGAAGGCCAGGGGAGAGACGGGTAAAGTGTCACCCGCCACAGGAAAGTCAGCAAAGGCCCCGGACTGGGCAAGACAGAGGAGACGTGAGTTCCAGCCTGGAGCAGGGTCTCAGTAAAGAGAGGGGTGCCCGCCGCGGTTCCCCGTGAGCCCCGCAGGCTCTCACTCGGCCGTCTCAGCAGTGACAAGGGCGCAGGGAGAGCCCCTCGTCTCAGCGGGGCCTCAGCGCCTGCTGCAGAGAAAACGCGAGAATGTTCGCCTGCCGGACCGCGGAGGTTGTTTCCGTCATTCACCGAGGAAACGCTGCTTCGCCAAGACCTTCCCGTGTGACACAGCGACAGTAGCGCAGTGTGGGCTCCCGGGCACGATGGTCACCAGGAGCTCGGTGAGCGCTGGGAGCTGGTCCCCGTCGGCTCAGGAGAGAGGGCACGGATGTCCTGGAGGCACCGGAAGGAGCGGCGGGTGAGGGCAGTGTTACTGCTGAGTTTGTGGGTGCTCGTCGCGGGGACCTGCTGCTGCCCGCTGGAGTGTGTGCGGGCGGCGGGACGTGCCAGCAGCGCCCCGGGCCCAGGGCCACGCTGCAGCCCGTGTGTCCATGGGAGCGGAACTGCTATGTGGACGAGGCTTCTGAGCGCAGCGCCACCCGAAGGCCCCGTGCCTGCGAGTGTAGGTGCCAAGATCTCCCCCTGGGAGGAGTGACGCTGAAGGGGACCCCGAAGAGGTGGTTTCGGATACAAAGGAGCAAGGCTGGGCTGGAGGGAATGCCGAGGCCGGCCTGCCTGCGCCCTCCCCGCAGCTCCCACCTCCGAACCGCAGCCTCTGCAGCGGGAACGGCAGCCCAGCGCTGCGCTGCCAGCCCGGACGCTGCGGGCCAAGCTCCCCCACTGGCCGTGGGGTTCAATGTCGTCGTCACCGGGACCTGTGCTCCCGGCCCGCGTCCCAGGCAGAGGGTCACGGTCACAGCAGCGCTGTGGAGGGTCACAGACCTCCGTCCGTCCCCGCAGCCCCAGGCACTGCTGCGTGTTCTCACCTGGGAGCGGGGGGGGGGGGGGAAGAGGTTGCCATTCAGCCTGGTTTTCCTGGGCCCCTCATGGAGAAATCACGTGAGGGTCTCCATGGGCCTCAGCCGGGTCCCCTCTTGTCCCCGCAGGCAGGTGCCTGCAAGGAAGTGTGCGGCCCCGGTATGCGCACACGTGGCCGCAGGTCAGGGAACTGCCCGGGGCGGGGGGGTGGGGTGCAGGGAAAATGCTGCCGATGCAGACCTGGCCGTGGGGGAGCGCAGGTCCCCAACGGAGTGACAGGTGCCACTGCACCAGGCACCTCCCGGGAGAAGTCTGAGGGCGTGACAGGTCTCACACTCCCCTACCTGGTTTTGGGGAGTAAGAGAATCCAGGCACCCGCCTTCCTTCACCCTCAGCCTTCGCTGCGCCTCGCTGTGGCGTCGCCGAGGCTGGAGCACAGGCTTTTATTTATTTATTTATTATTTTTTAAATTGAATTCAGAGAGGAAAGGAGAGGGAGAGAGACAGAAACATCAACCCAGGCATGTGCCCTGCCTGGGAGTCAAACTGCGACCTCCTGCTTCACAGGTTGACGCTCAACCATGGAGCCACGCCCGTGGGGCCACAGGCTCTGTCCTTGGCTCGCGTCATCCTGGGAGCAGACCCACAGGCCCGGGTGACTTGCCACCTGCAGCCTCGCCTTTGCGCCTGAGCTGAGGCGGGCGTCCGAGGCGCTGCCCCATCGTCCCCCATCGTTGCCTCAGTCCGAACTGTCCCGCGACCTGTGACCCCAGAAGTAAAGTTTTCAGCCGTTTTCTCCCAAAGACACCGATGTTGTTTGTGTTTTCCCTGGGAGGATAAATGAGCCCCGTCTGCTTCGTGAGCTGCAGAAAAAGTTTAATCGCATTTATCTGAAAATAAACGAGGGCTTGTCACATTTACTAAGATTCCCTAACGTACAGCTGGGGAGATCAGACCGTCTTTTAAGAATTAAGTTAGACCAGGTGCGGACCAGGACTCTAACGGGGTCTCTGACACGGGGCAGGGGACTCCTTGGGAGATGGATGAGCCAGTCCATGTAAGCACAGCTACTCACTGATTTATTTCTCTTTTAAGACAAAAGCAGAAGGTCACAGATTCAGAACTAGCTTGCGAGCAGGCTCACCAGTACCTTGTCACCAAAGCAAAAAACAGGTGGACAGACTTGTCTAAGGTAAGAGCGCGATCGTTTCCTTGGAGGCAAGGAAACCTCTTTCAGGGTCTGAGATCCCTGGGTGACCGAGCCGCCAGATCCGGTCCCGAGACAGGGGACGGCCTTGCACCCCCGGCCACAGGGCCTTGTAGTCGAAATACTTTCAAACAGATGCCCACACGCAAGGCCAATCGCGGTGCAGAGCAGTCAGTGGTGGGAGTCACAGGGCCGGGAATGCCTGGCTTTGTCTCAGGTTTGGCGTGAACTAGAAACATCAGTGAGCGTGCGAGAGGCTGTCAGACTCCTTTCACACGGCGACGAACCTGCGCTTTAAGCGGCATTCCCTCCTGTGCTGCCCAGAGGGTGGACAGCCCTTAAGGTGAGCGCCCGCCTGTGTCCGGATGGGAAACAGTGTAACCACCACAGCGACCCCTGCAGGCCGCAGACCCAGTGCGCCGGGGCCCAGCTTCCCAGTGCCACACAAGGGCCTCACTTGGAAAGTGTCTTTAAACTGCGTGAGGGAAGTCTTTCCGAGTTATTTTGAACAATGTCCCCACTTTGTTTCATTTGGTCATTTTCTTCCTGTGTTTGCTGTGTCTTGGCCTGTGCCCAGGTGAGGGTCACTCTGTGAAGTCCTTCTGAGTTCCTCGGCTCCCTGTCCCCTCTCCCCGTTCCCTCTCCCTAGTCCTCTATCCCCTATCCCCTGACCCTGTCCCCTGACCCTGTCCCCAGTCCCCTGTCCCCTATCCTCATCCCCCATCCCTATCCCCACCCCCCGTCCCCTGTCCCTATCCCCTGACCCCGTCCCCTCTTAGGCGAGCCCATTGTGCCTCATGCAGCTCACAGGCCAGGAGGTGACGGCTGATGAGAAAGGCAGATCACAGAGCAGACAGGCACTGTGGGGAAGGGGACAGGCTGGTGGAGAGGGACTGGGGCTGCGGGCAGAGGTCCTTGTCCTGCTGGGCCTGCCGTCCCTCCTCCTTGAACCACTTCCACTGGCGCCCTCCTGGCCGGCTTGACCTCCTCCCTCTCTGTGGACCCCCCTCCTCGGCGGTGTGTCCACACTCAGGCCCCCAGCCCTCTGGCCCTGCTCACAGATCCCCAGCCATGTGGGGCAGGTGGGGCCCACGCTGTGCCGCCAGGCAACCCCCCTCTCTGCACTGGGCAGGCGGGGGTGTGGGAAGGAAGGGGACACAGGGTGACAGAGGAAGGGCGTCTGTGGAGGGAGGGCCAGGAAGCCGCCTTTGTCCGGAACAGAGCACAGCCACACGTGTCCCCTCTCTGGCCTGCAGGACTGAAGGACCCTGCCTGCGCTGTCCCTGCATGGGGCCCTGCCACTCCTTGGCTTACGTGGAGTAAGCTCTGGAGGAGTTGGTGCTGGGCTCTCACCTGCAGATGGGACGATTCACGCCGGGCCGTGCCGCCCGGGGCAGCAGGGGCGGATCACGCGTGGTCCCCCTGCTCTGGGCTTCTGGCCTGTGTAGGTCACAAAAGTGATCGAAGGCCTAGAGTCGGCCTCCCTCTGCTGCACGGCTGTTGGGGTCTCAGCTAGCAGGGCCCGATGCAGGACCCGGCATTGAGTCATCTTCACAGTCACCTGGCTGCCCAGCCTCGCTCCCGCCCCGGGCAGCACAGCCGAGTCCTCGGGAGACGCAGGAGCCGTCCCCGGGGGCAGCGTAATAGGCTCATTTCTAGTTAAGTGTTTGCAGGAAGTAAGTTCTTCGGTTTCTTCAGCAAACATTATTATGAGCTCACTACGCACTGTTGCAGGGTGTTAAAGCCACAGACAAAAAGACAGGGTTGTGCCTGCACAGACGTGGGGCGCAGCAGGGGCATTGGGGTTGTGCACACTGTGATTGGGGGAGCTTTCCTGCGATGGGGCTCCGGGAGGGAGAGGCCACCGAAAGGACCACAGGTGCTGGGCAGGGTGGGGATGCGGAGGCTGTGGGGACTGAACCAAGGCCAGGCCCGGGCGACTGCCTGCATGGAGGGCTGCAGACAGTTCAGCAGGGAGTGTCCAAGGCCTCGACCGGGCAGTTTCTAGGGCGAGGCAGGCCGGGGACAGGTCCCAGCAGGCCTCACGTGCTGTAAGCTTTTGTTGTTGTTAAATTGCCGTCAATTCACAGCATAAAGTGACATCTTAGCCATTGTTAAGCCACCCGTTTAGTGGTGGTAAGTGCACTCACATTGTTTTTAAAGGGGCTTGGAGATCATCCAGACCTAATTTCTTGAAGCTTAATTCTTTTTTAAGATGTGACTCTACAGTGGATACTATAATATATGTATATAATGAAACACATACACTGAGTGGCCAGATTATTATGACCACCTGACGTTTGTAGGCAAATTAGCTATAATTTCTCGCTGAAGTTGCTAGAGGGCCAGACCATTATAAATAGGGAAGCAGGTTGTTTACCACGACAGTAGAAGTGATTTTTTTCTGAAGACATGGGTAAATAACGTGATTTAACAGCCTTTGAACGTGGGATATATTTGAACGTGAGTGGCCAGATTCTTATGACCACCCATCAGTACTTCGTTGGGCCACCTTTTGCCTTCAATACTGCGGCGATTCTTCTTGGCATTGACTCCACGAGATGTTGAAAGGTGATGTGAGGAATCTGACACCATGCCTGATGAATAGCACTGTCCAGTTCTGTGAGATTTGATGGTTGTGGAACCAGCTGCCTGGTGGCTCTTTTAACTTCGTCCCACAAATGCTCAATTGGATTGAGATCTGGTGATTGTGGGGGCCACCTCAGCAAGGTAAAGTCTCCCTCATGTTCTTGAAACCACTCCTGCACAATACGAGCACTGTGCCATGGCGCATTGTCTTGTTGGAAGAAGCCATCTCCATTGGGATACGCCATCAACATGATAGGATGAACTTGATCAGCAACGATACCTAGGTATGTTGTGCTATTCAGACGTTGTTCCACACGAATTAAAGGGCCCAAATCATGCCAGGAAAACATCCCCCAAACCATAACACTGCCCCCACCAGCTTGAAGGGTTGTACTCATGCATGTGGGGTGCATGCTTTCATGCTGTTTCCGCCAAATTCTCACTCCGCCATCTGCATGATGCAACTGGAAACATGATTGATCGGGCCACATGACTTTTTTCCAATGCTCGACTGTCCAATCCTTGTGTTCCTGTACTAATTGGAGACGTTTTATCTTGGTAACTGCAGACAGCAAAGGTGTTCGAACAGGCCTTCGGCTTCCATATCCCATACAATGCAGTGTGGACAGACAAACGTCAGGTGGTTATAATAATCTGGCCACACTCAGTGTGTGTGTGTGTGTGTGTGTGTGTGTGTGTGTATCCATCCCACGTTCAAAGGCTGTTAAATCTCGTTGTTTACCCACGTCTTCAGAAAAAAAATCACTTCTACTGTCGTGGTAAACAACCTGCTTCCCTATTTATAATGGTCTGGCCCTCTAGCAACTTCAGAGCGAAATTATAGCTGATTTGCCTACAAACGTCAGGTGGTCATAATAATCTGGCCACTCAGTGTATAATATGTGCACATCTCTGTCTTCCAGTGTATATAGTAATCATGTATATGTGTTCTTAAATGCACTTAAGTCGTCACCATGTTCTGCAAATCACGTCCCCGTGTAACCAGCACCCGGATGGAGGAATAGAATGTTGCCAGGTCTCCCTCTCCCTGTGCAGGGCCGAGCAGCACGTGTTCTGGCTTTGTGGCCACGGCTCAGCCGCCCCGCGTGGCCCCGGCGCCCTCCACAGCTTGTGTCTGTCCCTCCAGCGCCTGTGGCAGTGTCTCCTGCAGCTCTAATTAGCATTTGTGGCGACTAATGAGACCGCGCAGCTTTCATCTTACCCGTCAGGCGGGCTCCTTCCTGTGAAACTCGTGCCTTTTTGCGGTTCTCACACCGGGCCGCCCGCCTCCTTCCCACCGGCCCGCTGGAGCCCTCGCTGTGGATGGGCGGCGAGTCATTCGTGGCGCCACGTGATGTGCGTGCCTGCTCTGTTTGTGCTCTGTCAGCACACTTTTAAGGGCTGTCTTTTTGAAATGATAGTTCTTTTTAACGTAGGGAGATGTCTGACGTTTCCCGGGAGGGCTTGTTGAAGGAGCCAGGACGACAGTCCGCCTTCTCTCCTAGGCGCTTAGCGTTTCACTCCCACGCTCAGGGCCTGCAGCCGGCACCCTGTCCCCTGCGTGTGGTGAGGCAGGGCTCCGGCTCCCTGCTTCCCCTCGGCCATCAGCCCTCCTAGCTCCGTTCTCCGTGAAGCCCACCCCGTCCTGCCTCAAGGCCCTGGCAGCGTGCTGTCCTCTTGGTCTGTTTGTCTGTCCTGGCACCAACACCGCACCCTCAGGGTCACCGTCACTCAGTCACACACCCTAGTCAGCGGGTAGGCCAGCCCCTCCCCTCGTCCTCGAGGGGTTCTGAGTCATTTGTCAGGTTCCACCAAGAGAACAGTACCCATTGGGGTGTTTGCCGAGAAATGACACTTTACTATTTGGACTCTTCAGTCCACGGTGAGTTGGAGGAGCTATTTCCACCTATTTTGGTATTTTCTAGACTCTCCCCATCAAGCTTTAGAGTAGACTTTTCTGTGTAGAAGTTTTGCAAGCATTTGTAAGATTTATTCCTGGGACTTCCCATTTTTGATGCTATTTGTAAATGTTATTTCTTAAAATTCATTTTCTGTCCGATACCTAAAACCATGAACGGTTTTGCCTCTTGATATGGAATCCAGATTTCTTGCTAAATTCTTTTAGTCTAAGACTTCATTTGTGGACTCTGTATCCCTGCACATACAATCAACTCCTCTGTGAACAATGATGGTGGTGTTTCCTCCGGTCCCAGCGTCATGCCTTTCGCTCCTCTTTCTTGCTAAACCGCACTGACCCGGGCAAGACGCGCCGGGGGCGGCACAGACGCCCTTGCCTCGTTCCCGATCCCGATCCCCATCCCGGGGACGCTCCCGTCCTCCACGGCTCAGTGCTTGCTGAGCGCGGGGAGGGCCCATGGCTGGTGGTCGGAAGCGGTGAAAGGCCGTGCTGAGTGCCAGGCGGTACCTGCTCTTCTGGTCTGTGGTCCCCTCAAGTCCCTGATGAGCCCCCAGGAACCCCTCAGGGACATTAACATGGCACCACACCAGCTGGCCGTGGCGGCGGGCATCCCGTGTCCCTCATTTCCCTCCACAGCCACTGTGCTGAGGTGTAACACAGGCAGCCTGGCCACAGCCTCCTCCCCAGGATCGGAGGGGGCGGGGGGAAGGGGGGAGAACTTTATTCTCATCGTTTAGAGCTCAGTTTGTCCGTCAGGAGAAGAGTCCCGTCACACCTGAGACCACGCGCTCCCCAAGGCCAGCCCCGCAGGCCCAGAACCCTGTCCTGTGTGCTCGGCACCTTCCGAGGGGCGTGATGCGGTGGCTGGGACTCGGGTGAAAGGTGGTCAAGCAGGTGGATGGGGAGGACAAGGGGTTAGGTTGTCCCAGAGATTGACAGCGGGAAGCCCTCTGCACCGCCACAAACACGCGTGCTGTGCTGCTAAACGCCCCCTCCTGATGTTGTAGAATTTTACAGAAACCGACCATGAGGGCGCCGGCATTCTTCGCCGACGGGACATAAAGAACGCGCTGTACGGCTTCGATGTTCCCCTCACGCCGCGAGAACTGGAGAAGCTGTGGATGCGGTGAGTGGCACTGCGCTGGCTCCCTCCTTCCGGCCGCCTGCGCATCAGCACCAACCGTCCATCTCTGCTGGGGGGCAAGGCGGGGGCCGTGTCTGTCCTGGGCCCTGGGCCCTGGCTCCTGTTCCCCGCAGCAGCCTGGTGAGCAGGTGGCCTCGGGGCACGCAGAACCAGGGGCAGCGCGGCCACCAGTCAGACGGGTTCGTGGCCCAGGAGCCGGGAGTCACTCCCCTGAGCCTCGGCTCTCCTGCGACTCAACAGCCACACAGTCTCCCCGTCGCTAGCGATGGAGGCCAGAGTTGGACAGCGGCTTCATAGACACGTGATTTGCTGGAAGAAAATAAGCTCTGACCATGTGGAGGGGTCCCAGGGCCTTGTCAGCTGGTTACATTTTTCAGAATGCGTCTGGCTGTAGCCGTGGCTGCGCTTGAACCCGGCCCCGTGGCGGCATCCCGGGCAGATGTCTGACACTCCGTTTCCACCTCCAGGTCCAGGTCCCTGTCTGAGCCCCGTCCCCACCGTATATGTGAGCGCCGCTGGCCTCCCCCCCCCCCCCCCAGAGCCATGTGCACCGCGCACGCCCTCTGGGGGGCAAGCTCGCGAAGCAGCTCAGGCCATTTCCTAGCCCCTCATCTTCTCCAGGTGGAAGGCCGAAGTGTCGGCCACGTTTGGAATTGGTGGGCTGTTCGTGTCTAATGTGGAAAAGCACCTTGAGGTTCTTACACGGTCCTTTCTCTTTAGATCAGTTCCGACAGGGCCGTGAGCCTCCGTCCGTTTTCTTTCTCAGGAGGTTAGATCGTGGGTCCCTCTGATGGCCAAGGGACTGGGGCACAGCGGGCACCTGCGTGGGCACCCACCCACCCTGACAGACAAGAAAGTCAGCTGGGTCAGTGGATGCATTCTCTTCATTGTTACTCAGTGAAGACTGAGGCACAGGGCGCGGCGGTCCCAGAGCCGGGTTCCGCGGTCCTTCAGCCTCTCGTCCCGGAAGCAGCAGAGGGAGGCTCGCTCTGCACAGGAGAGCGCCCGCACTTCCACGCACGCACCGCCGCCTCGGCCTGCGGAGAGTGACGCCGCGACCTGTTTAAACACAGGCTTGGTCCTCGTGACTCGGAGTTCCTGTAGGAAATCGCATCCGCAAATGCCATTTTTATTGATTAGATGAGGACCAAGATCTTGCTGTTAAAATAAATAAAGGCTTTTTTTTTCTTTAAAGAAAATGGGCAATTTGCCTTAACATATTTTATTGAAGTAATTCTTTTAGAATAATGTTGGGAGATAAAAACCCTCCATTATGTCTTTTTAAATGAATTATAACTCAGAGGAACTTCAGTAATAGAAAGTGACACAAAAGGCACGTAGCGTAATTCTTATCTTCCTTCCTCACCAGTCTCTCTCCTTGGCTGTGTGTCACCGGCATCGCTTCAAAGACCAGGCGGGGGTTTGACTCACGCGGCGTTCACTTGCTGAGTCCTAAGCGTGAACGTGCTTTTCGAGGCTTTTCTTGTAACCTTAGCGTAGTTCCTTCACACGCGGTGCCGGGAACACGCTGCCGAGTGAACGGAGGGCTGGTTTCCCTCCTGCGGTCACAGCGTGTTGCCATCCGTCAGCATGGCCGGCGAGCAGGTTCGGTTGCTGTCTGTTGGGGTGGCCGGGACCACCATGTATGGGGTGAGCCTGCTGTGGGACGAGCAGTGGTTTCAAACTCCCACGTGCCTGCGAGTGGCCTGAGGACCTTGGTAAATGCAGGCTCAGAGCAGGGGCGGCCCGAGGCCCGAGGTCCTGGTCACTGGCCCCGGGCGAGCCGGTGCTGCTGGCCTGCGGAGCGCTGCGTGCGAGGGGCCGGGCACCCTGGCGCACCGTCAGAGCTGGGCACTGACCACGTTTGCTCGTCTCTGCAGCTATGACACCAAGGGGCGGGGGCACATCACGTACCCGGAGTTCCTGCACCAGCTGGGGATCACGTACTCGGCGGACGTGCACCGGCCCTACGCGGAGGACCACTCCAACTTCATGGGCCACTTCATGAAGCCGCCGCCGCCAGAGCCACCACGGAAGGAGCGCCCAGCGCAGTGCCCAGAACAGCCCCCAGAGCAGCACCCTGCGCAGCAGCCGGGCACGGACACGGACAAGCCAGCCAGGTGAGTCAGGGCGTGTCCCGGGCCAGGAGCTGCCATCTGAGCCGCCCACACCCGTGGCGGACGTTCTGAGATGCGGCCTCCGGGGCTGGCGAAGTGACAAGGCTGCCCTGTGTGCTCGCTGCCGGATGCTAGACACCGGCGCTGTCACAGCCCGCAGAGTGCCAGCCGTGCGCTGCCCGCCGCTCGGGGACTGTCCCTCTCAGGCATTTACTGTATGTGGCCCGGCCCTTCCCGGACAACTAGGATGCAGGCGCATGAAGACACGCCTGTCTCAGCCAATGCCTGACACCGAATTGGTGCCCGGCGAATATCTGTTGAATGAACGAGTGAGTGAGTGCAGACATGGTCTCGGACTCAGTACTTCCATTTTAAGGACTTTATACCAGAGAAATAATGCAGACGAGGCCCTCGGGTTAGCAGCGGGCAGGGATGGCTGGCCGGAGTTCCCACGGCTGGTCCCAGTGAGTGCGCGGGCCCAAAGGCTACGAAACAGCTGCCGCCACGAAGCCTGGGCAGCATGTGTGACCGAGGGCTGATGGGAAATCACAGGGACAGCACGTCTGTGTGACTGCAGCGATGCCAAGCACACGGGCCTGGCCGGGAGGCCCAGGAGGTGCACGCAGAGGGTCCCGCGAAGTCGTGTTTGGATCGTGGGACTGGGAGGATTACCTTCAAAGGGGAAAACCAGTTACCAACGTCGTACCTTGGAAGTGTTCGGCATGGGAGCGAGCTTGGCCATGTTGGAGTGGCCACAGAGCTGGGGGGCAGGTTTTCCTGGCCCATCTCCGTCCTGGTCCCCCATCAGAACTGCCAGGCCTGGGCTCTGCTTCCCGCCCCCTGCTGCCCGGGACTGTGCCGCCTGTCTCCTGCTGTCACTCCAGCTCTGTCCCCGCCCCTCTGAGAGCCCGTGAGTGAGTGCATGACTTGTTGCTGAAGAACCCCCAAAGGAAACGAGGCCCAGCAGCACAGAAATGAGGGGCCAGGGCCATGGGGGTTAAGGGGAAAGCAGTGTGCCACCCTGAGTGAGATGTAAAGAGGATGGAGTTTGAAAAATAAGGAAAAAAATGCATAAGATTGGTGTAAATCACACATGCCCTCGCACTAATGAAAAAGTGGATTTATCTTTATCAGACAGGGCTGGCCTCCTTACCCACCCCTCCCCCTGTCATGTGTGAGCAACGAGGTGGGAGGGAGCGCCCAGCTTCTCCCCTGCGGCCACTCCTCCCTGTGTCCTCCAACTGGGAGCTGGTGGAGCGGGGGTGGGGGGCGGAGGGATTCCTGACCGCCCAGCCAGCCCTCACGCCCCTGTCCTCTGCGGGGTCAGCCTCGCCTGCTGGACCAGCCTGATTTCATTAAGCCGCCGCCACCTCTGGTTTCTCAAAGGCGTCGGTTGCAACACTGTCAGGCGGCCGCTTCTGAATTCCGGGGCAGCGGGGCCTCCGGGTCACCCTTGAGGTTCTGTGTTTCCAGGACTTTCCCCCTCGTTTCTACTGAAACTCTGAGGAGATTGACAGACGGGCGTCGTGCTCAATTCACGTGACCAAAATGGTGTCTTTGCCTCTTACACCTACGGGAATGGGTTTTGTTTGAAGTGCCCTGAACACATTTTTTTCACTTAGAAAAATCCTCTTTTAAACTCGTGTGTGTTTTCCATGTCTTGCTGCTTTTTTTTTTTTTTTGCCTGAGTCTGAGCTGAAGACTTGGAATCAGTGCCGCCCTCGGGGCCCGGCCACCTCCTTATGCCCAGTCCCAGAACGCAGAGCCTGCGGCCGGCTCAGCCGCCTCAGAGGCTGGGAGTGGGGGGAGGGGGGGGGGCGGTGGCCGTCCCACTGGCCATGACAGTGGCCCCCGGGCTTCCGTGTCACTGTCCAGACCAGGAACCGGACGGGAACCCAGAGCAGCAACGGTCGCCCCGAGTGTGGCTCACACGCTTCCGTGCGCCGTGCGGCGAGCTCTGTGCTCTGGGCCTCACGCTGTGGACAAGCACGCTGCTCAGTGCGGCGGGAAGGGCTTGGGAGAGACCTGGGGGCCGAGGTGCGCAATCCTTACCTGCCCACACTCTCTTAGTCCCGTACAGTCCTTTTGTTCAGAGAACTTTCCTGAGAAGCAGAATCAGCACGTTTAGAACTTGAGCACGTTCTGCAGGAAAACCAGCCTCTGGCGCAGTGGTTCTCAGCCTTCTGGCCCTTTAAATACCGTTCCTCATGTGGTGACCCAACCATAACATTATTTTCGTTGCTACTTCATAACTGTCATGTTGCTACTGTGATGAATCGTCATGTAAATAATCTGATGTGCAGGATGGTCTTAGGCGACCCCTGTGAAAGGGTCGTTCGACCGCCAAAGGGGTCGCGACCCACAGGTTGAGAACCGCTGCTCTAGCGGGAGCTTGCCCGCCGCCCCAGGGCCCTGTCTCATCCCCATCTGTCCAGTGGGGTGACCGGGACCCCTCCCTCGCAGGGCTGTTGGGAGGAACAAGAGGGAGGGGCTCACAGCGAGGCCCGGGCCTGCCAGTTGCTGCGCACAGATGGTGCAGTTTCTTAACAACAAAGTGTCTGATTAAAAACAAGGGTCCCTGGGCCTTCCCTCTGCCGACTCTGACTGGCCCTCCCCTCCCTGCTGCCCCTTCAGGGCAGCTGCTACTGGCTGTCCCTGGCCCCCAGCCTACTGGGCCCAGGTAGCTGCACGCCAACTCCTTCAGCTCAGTGTTGCTCCTCGGCCACCTTCCCAGTGACGCCTACCCACACCCTCTCCCACGGGGGCCACTCCCAGTCCTGCTCACAGCTCTCTCCTGACCCACTAACCCCTGTGCAGGGCGGGCACGGATGCCTTCTGTACCATCTGCCCTGCCCGCTGGGATGTAACTTGTGGGGGCCACTTGGAGTCACTGGATGTACCCCGGTGCCCACAGCAGTTTCTGGCAGTAGGTGCCCAGGGAGCCTTCAGGGGGAGTAGCGCATGTGTATAAGAACCACTCTTCATTCGTGGCCCCACTCTTACAGTCCTAATCTAGTAACAAGACAAGACTGGGACTCCTCTGACGCAGTTTTGCTGGTGATGGTGATGTGATAAGCACGCAGACTTACACATTTTTTGCAGAATACCTCTCAACGTAAATGTCGCACCAAGGCTGCAAAACAGCTTCAGAGTCGGTTCTTTTTTTTTTTTTTTAATAGATTTTTATTGATTTCAGAGAGAAAAGGAGGGAGAGAGAGATAGAAACATCCATGATGAGAAAGAATCATTGATCGGCTGCCTCCTACACGCCCCCTACTGAGGATCAAGCCCGCAATGTTCCCCAACTGGGAATCGAACCTGCCCGGGCCGCCGCTCTGTCCCGAGCCAAACTGGCTGGGCCAGAGTGAGTCCTTAATGAATCACCTGATCATCACGAGGATGATGGTGAAACCCTCGCCTTAGGAGGTGTCCGGCTTTCCTGTGGGTGTCTGACCTGCATCCTCTTTCAGGGAGAAGCTGAAGGACCGCAGTGAAGACATCAGGAAGGCGCTGACCAAGCTGGACACGTGCGGCAGCGGCTCGGTGTCCCTGTGCCAGCTGCAGAGGGCGCTGCGGGACAGCGGCTGTCCCCTGAAGGAGGCGGAGCTGGCCGCGCTCCTGGGCAGGTTTGCTCTCACTGGCTGGCCCTTCCCGAGAAACCAGTCTGTGCGTGGCTTTCATTTCTCCTCTGTCCAAGCAGACTCTTGACATGGAAATGACCCCCACATCTCCCTCTGGCCGGGCTGCATTCTAATGGGCTCGAGTCACCCCGAAGCAAAAAGGAAAAGCAGCTTAGATACGTAGCGTTTCCTGATGTGTCTCAGCACATCGCACCCTGTTTTAACTCCGTTTTTATTTTACCCACATTCTGCCTGCGCTTCGGCCGGCGCCAGGTAGCTCTACGGGCCACTGTCCTCGTGTCCCTCCCCAGGGCCAGCTCCCAACGCTTAAGTGACATCTCTTGGTACTTAACTTCGCGTTTCTGAGTGACGGGTTGTACAGCTACTTCTTGACTTTGTACCGTTAGGCTGTGTCTATTGACTTCCCAGCAGGAAGATGAGGATTTAACTCTTTTTCACCCGTCACCTGCCACGAGCCACCTCTCCCACAGCCTCCACCCCACCCCCACGGAAATACACGCAAACCAGTCCCCACGGGTGTTACTTTTCCCATCCGCTGCTTCTCGGTTTGGGGGGGGGGGCAGTATCCGGGGTTTATTGTGACGAGCTGATCACGTTTCCTTTTTAATGGAGCATCTTGTTTTTCCTGGAGTTAATCTTATTTTTTCTGTTTCTTTAGTTTCCATTTGGTTATTATCAGTAATTGAACTCCTACCTCACCCCACTTATGAAATCTCTTTCTTTTCGTGGTTGCTCTGTAGTTTGCAATATGCACGAACAAGTAGCCTAAGTCCAGTTTCAGCTAACACGATGCCAGCTCATGGGTGGGCAGGTGCCTTATAACGGAGACTTCCAGATCCTTCCTCCTGTCCCTCGTGGCCCTGCTGTCCTTCACCTTCACGCCTATCCACAAGCTGTGACCCCCAGTGCATTGTTACTACTTTGAAAAATCATTGTCGGGTCAACTGAGAGTTAGAAAAGTAAGAGACGTTGTTTTACCTTCGTTTACTCCTTCCCTGGTGCTCTTCCTTTCTCTATAGGGATCTGAGTTTCTGACTTACATGACGTTCCTCTCTCCGAAGGATCTCCGTTAGCATTTCTCGAAGGGCGGGGCAGCTGGTGATGAGTCCTGAGGTGTTTGTTTGTTTGTTTGTTTGTTTTTTAAATATATTTTTATTGATTTCAGAGAGGAAGGGAGAGGGAGAGAGAGATAGAAACAATAATGATGAGAGAGAATCATTGATTGGCTGCCTCCTGCACGCCCCCTTCTGGGGATCAAGCCTGCAAGCCAGGCATGTGCCCTTGACCAGAATCAAACCTGGGACCCTTCAGTCTGCAGGCCGAGGCTCTATCCACTGAGCCAAACCAGCTAGGGCAGTCCTGAGGTTTTGTTTGCCTGAGATAGTTGTCGTTTTCCTTCATTTCTAGAGGATAATGCCACTGGATATAGAATTCTAGGTTGCTGGTTTTTTTCTTTCAGCACTTTAATTCTGTCAGTTCACTCTTTCCTTGCATGATTTCTGATGAGAAGTACCATGTAATTCTTACTTTTGTTCCTCTGTAGATAAGGTTTTCCCTCCCTTTGGCTTCTTTCAAGATTTTCTCTTTTTTGCAGTTTAAACATGGCATGCCTAGGTGTTGATTTTTTGGTATTTATCCTTCTTGGTGCTCTCTGAACTTTCTGGATCTGTGCTTTGTGTCTGTCATTAATTTTTTAAAATTCTTGGCCATCATTACTTTAGATGTTCTTTCTGCTCCTTTCTCTTTTTCTCTCCTCCTCGTATTCTAATTATATGGATGTTGCACCTTTTGAAATTGCCCCACAGTTTCATATTCTGTTCGGTTTATTTTAATTTGTTTTTCCCTTCGAATTTCCATTTGGGAAGTTTTTATTAACATACTGTTAAGCTCAGTGATTTTTATCCTCAACCATGTCCGATTGACTGATGAGCCAATCAGAGGCGTTCTTCATTTCTGTTGCCCTGCTTTTTATTTCCAGTATTTCCTTTTTTAAAAAAATATATGTTTATTGATTTCAGAGAGGAAGGAAGAGGGAGAGAGAAATAGAAACATCCATGATGAGAGAGAATCATTGATCAGCTGCCTCCTGCCCACCCCACACTGGGGATTAAGCCCACAACCCGGGCATGTGCCCTGACTGGGAATTGAACCCATGACCTGCTGGTTCACAGATTGATGCTCAACCGCTGAGCCACGCCAGCTGGGCTCCAACATTTCCTTTTGATGCTTTCTTAGCGTTTCCACCTCTCTGTTCACATTATGCATTTGTTCTTGGGTGTTGTCTGCCTTTTCCATTAGAGCCCTTTATATATTAATCATAGTTAATTTAAGTGTCCTGTCTGGTAATTCCAAAATATGTGTCATGTCTGAATCTGGTTCTCATGCGTTTAGTGTGAGGTTTTATGTTGATCCGGGTAGGAATTGGGCTGTGCTTAATGTTGCTATAGCTGTCCATTTCCTCCAGCATCCTTGTTTTTGTCCCTTACATTTTTGGGGGTTTCCCTAGGAACTCCTCCTCAAATAGAGTCTATGTTTTATAGTTCTTCCCATTGAAACCCACTCTTATTAAATTTGCTTCATGTTTATACTCTGATCTTATTGATAGGTTGTTTGTTTCCTGAAGTTTTTAATTTCCTTTTTGTCTTTCTTGCATTATTTGCCTTTATGTTACCTTGTCAAATATAGACAATTGCAGACTTAGTAAAGAGAGACTTTATTTGAAAAGACTATTGCACTAGGGCGGGGGGACTGTGGTTATGGGGAAGGAAGGCTATTGCACTAGGGCGGGGGGACTGTGGTTATGGGGAAGGAAGGCTATTGCACTAGGGAGGGGGGACTGTGGTTATGGGGAAGGAAGGCTATTGCACTAGGAATGGGAGGACTGTGGTTATGGGGAAGGAAGGCTATTGCACTAGGGAGGGGGGACTGTGGTTATGGGGAAGGAAGGCTATTGCACTAGGGAGGGGGGACTGTGGTTATGGGGAAGGAAGGCTATTGCACTAGGGAGGCGGGACTGTGGTTATGGGGAAGGAAGGCTATTGCACTAGGGAGGAGGGACTGGTTATGGGAAAGGAAGGCTATTGCACTAGGGAGGGGGGGTCTGTGGTTATGGGGAAGGAAGGCTGTTGCACTAGGGGACTGCCCTGACCAGGAAATCTGCAAGCATCTCCCAGTTTAGGCAGAAAGGGGCCTTTATGGGGAAGAATAAAGGCAGGCCTGAGTGTGGGGTAAGGAGCCGAGGGGACTGTGACCACACTGCGGCAGGGAATGTCTGTCCTGTGGTCAGGTGTCCCGAGGGGCCTTGCGGAGGGGCCGTTCCCCACCCGATGCTGCAGGGAAGCTTAGTTAAGTTTGGTCAGTCAATTTGTCCAGATCGGCCAGTGAGTAAGTAAAAGAAGTTCAGGTCTCTAAGACGCGGCATTGGGAGGGCTGCGCCCACCTCGTCATGGGCAAACCGAGGAGTCTTTTCTAGGTCAGGTGGGAAACGCTGGTTCTTTGCCGTAAGCCATGTCCAAGGACGTCGGGGGAGGGTGACTCTGTAACCGTCACTGGTTTCCAGGAGCCCAGGCTCAGCCAAGCTCCATGTTGTCCAGCTCCAGCTCCCCAGCGTCCGCCCCACTTCCTGTCCCCGGCTCTTCCCTGTGCTCCATCCCAGCGCCGGGCCCCGCCCCCGTCCTCCGTCTGCTGCCCAAGAGCCTCCCTGTCTGCCCCCACCATGCTCCTGGGTGGGACCCCCATTCCCCGCTTTTCACCTCTCTTTTCTTAATTACATCCTTATTTTGCTGGAGTACTTCCTGGCGTAATTTCCTAAGAAAGGGTGGACAGGAAGTAAATGCTCTGAGTTCTTGTTTGTCTGAAAATTTTTAAATTCTTTTTCACACAGATTGATAACTTGAGCATAAAATCCTAGGGAGAAAAAATTCTTTTCCCTTAAAATTTTGAAGACATTGCTCCATTGTGTTCAAGTTGTGAGGAGTCCCATGCGTGTGTGTGTGTGTGTGAGAGAGAGAGAGAGAGAGAGAGAGAGAGAGAGAGAGAGGGAACCGATTCATCCTCAAATGCCTGTGTGCTCTCTTCTTCCTGAGATAGGGTCTCCTCTCACTAAATCTGTTTCCAGCTGAACAAGAATTCATATGCATTCAGTGAATAAATCATGGAAAAATAGCATGCGATAAATAATTAACTAAATGAGTGAGAGTCTTCTAAAGCATGGTGAGTCTTGGTGCATTTATACACGACAACAAAAGGACTGGGATTTTTGTGGTCCACCTTTCAGGGGGGCGATCCCTTCCTCAGGGATTGAAACCTTAATGAGGCCCATCGCTCGACTGCTTGTTTCTTCTCAAAGACCTCTGATGAGACACAGCTCCGTTATTTGTAATTATATGTAGATTATTTTTTTCTAGATCCAAAATAGATTTTTCTGAATAATACCAAGAAGATTAGCACATGCATTTGATTTTATTACTAAATTTTAATACCAAGTTGGCAGTTACCCTGCGGATGAAATAGAGCTGATTACCCTATCCCTGTGTCTCCGGCGTGAGCCAGCGCCGTGGGCCGGGCCGGCCGGCTGCTCTGCAGCTGTGGGGCGGAGGCACGGCTCTGGCTCCTGCTCCTCAGAGCAGGTCTCCGAGTCTCTGGGGGCTTCTCCCTCCCCGGGAGCTTCTCCCTCCGCTTGCCAGGAATCCGGGCTCCTCCTCTTTGACACACTCCTTCCTGCTGAAAGAAAGTTTAGGTGTTAACGTGCCAGGAATGCCCAGAGAACTTAAGTGAGAGAACTGGGAGCTCTGGATGCAGTTAAACTTTATTTGCATCTTCAGTAAATTTGCGTTATGTTCTCATGGAACCTTAGATCCCCTCCCCGCCCCCCATGTATTCTTTCAGGGTTTAAAGGCACTTGGATGTTGGAGCAGAGGCAGGAGGGGCCTGTTTCTACGGGCATGTCCTGCTGACATGCTTACACAGATGGAATTGTTCTTTGAGAAACCACTAAGCTAAATAGGTTTTGTGAAATGTCCTTCAGCTTGGCAGCTCTGTTTCAGCCGTTCTTGTAAAGCAGCGGTTCTCAACCTGTGGGTCGCCTAAGACCATCGGAAAACACATATATAATTACATATTGTTTTTGTGGTTAATCACTATGCTTTAATTATGTTCAATTTGTGACAATGAAATTGGGGGTCACCACAACATGAGGAACTGTATTAAAGGGTCATGGCGTTAGGAAGGTGGAGAACCGCTGAATGATCGGGTATTTTACTCAGTCCCTCTCTTCCTTTTCGCTGTCCTCGCTGCATTTCTCTTCTTTTCAGATTCCCCAGCCGCTTCTCAGGGCGGGGTCTCATCAGCTAAGATCTCCAGGACCAACCCCTACCCTCCATCACCCTCCATGTGGCCCCGCCCCCACTCCACAGACCTGCCTCCCGACTACCCCGTAACACTGCTCTGCCAGCGCCAGCCCTGCCGAGGCACCTCCATTTGCCCCGTCAGGACCAGATTCCTTAGTGGGGCCTCTTGCAGCTCCGGTCAGGACCAGATTCCTTAGTGGGGCCTCTTGCAACTTCTCTCCAGACTGTGGCCTCACCAGCCAGCAGTGGCCCACACGCTCGCCTCTCCCAACCCTGACCCTGCTCCCGGATCTTGCAGGCTCTGTGTGTGCCCGTCTGCCGCCTGGCTAATTGGTATGCAGGTGTGCAGGCACCCACAGGCCGGGGAACGGCGCCTTAACATCATTCCTGTTCTCCACCCATTCTGTGCTCAGCTGGTGTGTGTTGAATGAATAAGTGATAGGGTTTTTAAATTAATATGTTTTTTTTTTCTTCCTTGGGGACCAGTTTGGGAATCAGCTGGCAAAACAATTCCATCAATTACCTTGACTTCTTGAGGGCCGTGGAGGACGGCAAACCATCCGGAGCTGAGCCGAAAGAGAGCGAGGCGGGCGTGCAGGTCAATTTTGCGAAACTGAGTCCGGAGGAGGTTCTGAAGAATGTCCAGAAAGTGGTGGCTGCCTCCGGTCCGGCTCTGGCCACGGTACGGCAGACAGAGCTCTCACTGTGGAAACCGACGCTCTGGGACTCGTGTCGATCATGAGAAAGGGCTGCAAGCCCTTCCCTCCTCCAGGACCCCTCCCGCCTCTCCACGCTCCCAGGGTGTCGGGCCTCCGAGGAGAGGCTCAGATCATATTGCTCAGTGAGCAGGTGTCTGTCCATACTTGCTCGATACAGAGCTCCCATGCCCTGGCCGGTGGCTCAGTGGGTTGGAGCATCGTCCCGTAACCAAAAGGTCACAGGTTCAATCCCTGGTCCGGGCACATACCTAGGTTGCAGGTTTGATCCCCAGTCAGGGCACGTACGGGAGGCAACTGATGGATGTTTCTCTCTCTCTCTCTTCTCTCTCTCTGTCTGTCTCTCTCTCTCTCTCTCTCTTCTCTCTCTCTGTCTGTCTCTCACTCTCTCTCTCTCAAAAATCAATGAACGTATCCTCACAGCACTGGGCCTGTGGAGGGGGTGGCGCAGGCGGCTTGCAGAGGTCGGCCAGGGTGGGGCTGTGGCTCAGACTCAGAGTGAAGACTGCCAGAAGTCGGAGAGGGTTTAGGAGGGCCACCGAGTACCCTGACACTAGGCTGGCATCTGTGTGGCACCTAGAGCATGCCAAGACCTGGGGACTGGGTCAGGGTCCTCGGAAAGCAGGGCTTGGGCCTTGTTCCCGGGGTGGTCACGGTCCCCTGAACTGGCCCACAGTCTCCCCTGCAGCAGCAACAGCAGAAAGAGAGAATGCTGGCTGCGGAGGGCAGGCTGCGGTCTGAGCCGGGCGTGCAAAGCTGCGTGTGATGCTGGCCACGTCTCACGTGCAGACTCGCCGACCCCCTCAGAACCCAGGCCGGCCCGCTCCATGCCCAGCTCTGCAGAGCGAGCCTGCGGCGGGTGGGGAGAGGGGCAGAGGTGGGCCGCCAGCCAGCTTGCAAGCAGTCTGGAATGCCTGCACCTTGGCCTTGATCTTGGACAGCCAGCATTTGTGCATGGAGGAGTTCTCTATGAGGATTTTACACTCGGCCTTTATTTCACTGATTATCTGAAGCTCAGTGGGAGCATGACGCGGGCCACCTAGAAAACCCACCGCAACCCTTCAGGGCCAGAGCTCGCACCAGGGCCACCCTGTCCGGGGTCTGCACACGTGTGCACGGGAACCAGGATGTTTCTCAAACTGAGGCCCATGGAACCTTTGGGAGGAACCCTGGCTGTCACCTCTGGGAAACACTCCTCAGGCCATGAGGTTTGAAGCTGGAGGGTGGGAGTCCCTGGCCTAGAGAGTGGCAGGTGGGCTGCAGAGGGGCAGCAGGAGAGGAAGGAATGACGGCGTCGAAGGACAGCCGTCTGCATACTGGACATGTGCACGCATTTCCTCACATCGCTGCAGGCGTGTGTCAGCTGCATCTTGTTTCTGAAATGACATAGCAACCCCTTATAGCTGTGTCGAGCGTCATGGATTCCCAAGCCCTTCTCCTCATCTGATTCTTCCCCGCATCCTGTGGTCGGGCAGCTGGGCCGACGGGAACCACGCAGACCAGGGACGTGCAGGCCCCAGGCCGCCTCAGGTCCTCTGAGGCTCATTCCTCCACAGCTGCCGAGGCCCACCACGTCCCAGGACAGGGGCACGTCCGGGTGCCATGGCCAACTCAGAAGAGCATGAGGTGTGAAGCCCCTCTGTTTCTATGGAAGCAGCTAAGCTCAGAGAGGTTCAGGGCTCCTGGGGGGCAGCAGAGCAAAGGCTCAGAGTCTGCTTCCTGGCCTGCGGCCACAGGGTTACCCCCACACACAGCGCCTCGTCCTCCCGCAGGCTGGGTGCAGACCTGGAGCTGGAGCACTAAGGTTAACAGCGCACACGGCACAGCCCTGGGCCCTGCCAAGGTGGCTCTGGGGGAGGAGTAACAGCACGGGAATTTGGTTTGGGGTCTGCACGCACATTGAAGTCTGACTTCAAAAAAAAAAAAAAGATCTTAACCTACCGCTTGATCCAGACTTCCTAGTGCAGGAGAAGTGAATGATTTTGTTTCGACAGATGGAAAAAAAATGTGCTTTCTTTTTATAGCACATGTTTGCACTTTTCCAGGGTGCCTGCTGGGCCACTGGGCTGGCACTGTCTCCCGCCCCCCGCAGCGTGGGCCCCGGGCAGTGGGGTCCTCCCGGAGGTGAGGGCACGGGCTCGGGCTGACCGAGGGGAAAGGACAGCAGCTCCTGGCACCAGCCTCAGGCTGGGGGTGACGGAGGGACCCCACCTCCTGGTGCTGGTGACATGAGACTCCTTTCTGAGATCTGCCCGCCCGGCACAGTGGGGTTGGCCTGAGCCTCCTGTTCCTGGTGGTTTACTCTCCGAGCAGCCGGAGGGAATGAGGGAGAGACCTTGGGCCAGTTGTGGGGGCCAGGTTCCCTTCGCCTCTTCCAATTCGTGTCCCAGAGGAGTGAAGACGGCGCGCCCCCAGCGAGGCTGGCACGGCGCACGCATCTGCCAGCACCTGCTGAGCGAGGCAGTGTTCAGACGGGCACGCACGTGGCTTCATTCGCGTTGCGCAGGAGCAGCACTAAGGAAAACACCTCTGGAATATTCACTGAACGTAGCACCTGCCCGTCTTTTTCTCTCGCAGGCGTTTTCTGCCGTGGACAGAGAGGACACGGGGTTCCTGAAGGCTTCGGACTTTGGACAAGTGCTGAAGGATTTCTGTTACAAGCTGACAGATAACCAGTTCCATTACTTCCTGAGGAAACTGCGACTTCACCTGACGCCCTGCATCGGCTGGAAGTACTTCCTGCAGAGCTTCGGCGGCTTCCTGGAAGAGGTGAGTGCCCGCGGCTCCTGGACCAGGGGCTGGAACGCACTTTTGCAGAACGAGTAACCGATTAGAAGCGCGTCCGGTAAGTCGGCAAGCACCTCGTGCGATTCGCTCGTTCTGAAGGAAGCGTTCGTGTAGAGTCTCTAGGAGAAGGTACATGTGTATCTTTTGCTTCATTGGAAAGTTACTATCTTATTTTCAGAGACGTCTGAGAGCTTGCTTTTGTCTGGTTGTTTGGAGTGCTCGGGATTCTTAGGTCCCTGAAGATGATCTGATGTCCGGAGAAGTGAGGCCCCGAGTGGCAGTGAAGGAACTGGGACCCACTCGGGAGGCATTTGTTGAGGACCCACTCTGTGCCAGGCCCTCCTAGGCCATGTATCAGGCAATCCTGGGGCAGAGGGAAATGTGGAGATAGCAGGCGTAAACAGATGTATATCAGCGGGCCCCAAGGGAAGTCAGGGAGGACTTCATGGAGGAGGGGGTGTGGCTGACCACGGGGCTCATATTTCTTCCTGAGGACTGCTGCTTTGGCTGCACAAGATGTATATTCTTAGGTGGTTTCTTGATTTGTAAACATAAATGGGCCATCATTAGAACGAATTCCAGTCTAGTTTTAACCAGCACAGATCTCTGTAGTCACCATTCTGTGCTCAGTGAGCCTGGACACGCGTGAAACATCCAAAAATAATGCAACAGGTTCAACCAGGGTCAACTGCCCCGGAGCTGGGTGTGCAGGTCATTTCCAACGGTGCGCTTCATACACTGACACCTAAGTTCATAAATCCTCGCTCACTTGTCAGGATAAATTCTTGAAAATGAGCTTCCCGGGGCAGATAGCGCGAAGGTGTTTAAGGTTTGAGGTTCATGAGGGTAATAACAGCAGCCAGCCCTGTCAGTGCCTTCAGATGCCACTGTGAGCACTGCTGGGAGCAGCCCGCCTCGTAGCCGGGGCGCTGGGCACAGAGGCGCGGGAGCCTCCACAGTCACCCCGTGGGGGAGCAGGGGGCAGGAGGGTGGGGGAGCCCAAGGAGTCTGGCCCCGGCTCCAGGCCCCGAACGCTGTGCCCGCTCCTCTGGGCCTTGTGATTTTTTTCATCTTTTTGACAAACATTTTTATTTGTATCAAAGTAATATGTGCCCGCGTGGAAATAAAATGGAGTTGTTGCAGAAGATTTAAAGGCCGAGAGCACTCGATCAGCTACCCGCCTCCGTCCGCTCCCAGAGCTCGCTGGAGTTGGTGGTGTTTCTCCAGCTGTGGACCTGCTTGTCTCCGGGCATTTGCCTCCCTCCCGCGCCTGAAAGCATGGCTCTGGGCGTTGCTCCCCGCTCGCTGAGATGAGAGAGGACTGGCTTCCCTGTCCCGGCTCCCGGCCCTCCTCCAGGGCTCCCTGGGGAGGTCTCCTCTGTAGCTGCCTGTCACTCACCCTGATGTCATTGACATTTCCCGTGTCATTGGTTTTTCCCTCCAATGTGGGTCTGTTTGATGTATACCTTCCCACTGTGTGGATTCACTCCTTCCATCCACCGGTGCTCCTGCGGGCCCACTGTGTGCCAGGCTCGCGCCGCGTGCTGGGTCAGCAGGAAGCACGCTGACACGCCCCTGCCCACCGGGAGCTTGTATTCCGCCAAGGGAGGAAGCGAAGCAATGAGATCCCAGTGTGTGCCGCGGAGAAGATGTAGCGGGGCAGGAGGAAGACGTGTGAGAGGCGACAGGAGCCGAGACCCAGGGGAGGGAGGGACCCAGTGGTTTCGAGGCTCAGAGCTGGCGCAGGAGGTGCCCGACGGGCGTGAGAAGAGTCGTGGTGTGGCAGCCAAGAGCGGGTGACGCGGGCAGGGAGGGGGCGGGCGGCCATGTCACTGTGTTCCCAGCAAAGACTGCCGGGCCTTGCCTCTGAGGCACACACAGAGGGAGCGGTGTGACCCGACTTACATTTTAGGAAGTCGCTGTGGGAGGTGGATGGAGAGGAGACTGTGGGTCAAGGCCACGGCAGGAGGCGGCCTCACCCCTGCGGTGGGGAAGCTGCTGGCGGTTAATTCCAGACACATCTGCAAAGTGGACAGACAGGCCTTGCTGCTGGCACATCTGTGCTGAGGGCGGGCAGGGGGGCGGGGGAGCATGTCAGGAGAGGCCCCAGGCAGGCAAGAGGAGAGGAAGGTGCAGGACCCAGTCCCTGGACTGTGGGCTCCCCGCTCTGTGCTCGAGTGGGGACAGTGCACCCGTGGGTGCGAGCCCAGGCCTCTACAGGCTCTGTGGGCAGCGCGGGCTTCTTGGGCAGCATGTGCCACGGTTGGGAGGCGAGCTCCCACCTCAGTGCGGCGCCTCCCTGGCCTCGGGTCCCCACCAGCATTTCTGAATCCTCTGGAATGACGGGACCATTTTGAAAGCTTCAAATATTGCCAGCCTGCGTCCCTGATGTGGGTTCTCACTGTCCTCCTTGCTCCGGGAGCTCTTCACTGCACTTTCCTGCCGGAGGCGTCAGGGCCACTGCAGGCGGAGCCGGTGGGCTGCATGGGGCTGGGACCAGGGAGGCAGGTGGCACTGTGGGGTGGGGGCGGGCACAGCCTCCGCCTGCCTTCCGGGTCTGTGCACAGTCGGGATCAGCCCCGGAAGTGGACTTGGCCTTGGGGTGGGGAGAGCTTTCGGAGAACCAGCGTGCATTTATCAGGGGGACAAGCTGAGCGAGGGGCTGGGCTGGAAGACGGCGTGAAGGTGCGGCGTGAGGCCTGGGTGTGGGCGGCCACGGCAGGTCAGATATGAGGGTCCTGTTGTCTGTCACCTGCTGCTGGGCTGGGGTGGGCGGGGCAGCAGAACGGCTGAGCCTCGTGGGCAGGGCCCCGGGCTGGCCTCCTGGGGTGGCCGGAGGGCAAGGATGCTGGGTCATCGTGCTGCCTTCTAAGGTCCAGTCCTGGCTGCTGTCCTCAGAGAGGGAAACAGTCACAAACGACAGGAAGTGCAGACGCATCGCCCTCCAGCTCATCAAGTGTGATGCTGCTCCTCCCCCGGGGGCACGCGGCAGCTGTTGAAAGGAGATTGCCCAGACGTGAGTCAGGCGGTGGTGCCTCTCCGAGTGGGGGCGGCTCAGAGCCGCGCTTCCCAGGCCTGGGGGAGAAGGCCCCGAGTGTGGATGCGGATGTGACACCGCCCAGGGTCCCTCCTCCTCCTGGGCACCTCGAGGTCTGCTCAGCAGCTTCAGATGCTCCTATGCCTCGTGGGCCTGTCCCACGTGACGGCCACGTGACACCCGAGCTCCCTTCGGAACAGGCGCCCGCTGTTTCCGCCCCGGGTGCCCGGCGTATCTGGCGTGTGGCTCTGCTGTGGCTTCTCCTCCTGCTCCACGGCTTTGGGAGGCACCACCGAGGCCCAGCAGCCATTCTCACAGCGGGGGTCCCGGGCCCCCCCAGGGCGGACCCGCCCCACAGGCTCCATCTGCGGGGCCACGTCCTTCTTAGCGCCGCTCTCGGGTTGGAAATCTAGGCCATCAGCCCACAGGCTGCGAGCTGCAGACGGAGGTGGAGCAAGGACTGTGCCTCCTGCCATGGGAGCCATCACGCCCCCTCATAAAAGAAGGGGGCGCGGCATTCAAACGGAAAGGCCACCTGGTTAACGAGTAAAAAGGAAGAAGAAGGGCCACGTGCTGGACGACGCACCGTCCCTCCGCCATCGGATTCTCACCACCCGGTGCAGTGTCCGTGCCTGTCCCCAAGGGCCTCTCCTCACTCCCGGGCGAGCGGGGTCCTGGGGCCGCGGGCAAGTGCAGAGGGCCGCCCCGTTTTTAGACAGCCCTTCCCGCTTAGCATTTCTTTCAAGCCTTAAAGTGCCATCGCAGTGTCTTGCACGAGGGTACCAGCGATGCTCAGAGTGGATAGAGGACGTGTGAGCGGCATGGCGGAGACCCACACGAAACCTTTTAACAGAACGTCCCCTCGTTCGGCACCGAGCAGCTGCTCAGTGGCTTTCCCGCCGCCGAGAGCCCAGGAGGCTCTTCCTACTGTGCGTGTCACGTGCGGCTTCGAAGTGCCTGTCGGACGTTAAACACCTGGAAGGTGGTGTTTCCAGGAGAGAATTTAAGGTTGTAGTTTCCGGCTGAAGAGGAGGCTGCAAAGCACAGCAACGAGTTTGTGATCTTCTGTGAGCACCACACTGAGGAGTCGCCAGCAGCGCGCCCTCGATTCGCCTTCCTGTTGGTGTGAAAGTCACGCTGTCCGTGTATGTGATGAAGGAGGAGGGGTTCTCTTCAGGAAGTGCCGTGAGATTCCTGGAGAGTCAGGAAGATGGTCAAGCCGTGTCGTCACTGCTACTTACTCTTGCTCCTGGTGGCGCAGTCCCCCCCGTAGACTTCCGGGGATTTTCAAATGTTTCCCCTAAATTCCACCCGCTTTCCACTTGCAAGGACACGTGTCCTGCCTGTTATCCTGGAGACCATTGGAGAGGGGACAGGTTGCAGGACCATGCGGGCCGGGCTCGGGGCTGCTGGGCCGCCGTGCGTCAGCGAAGGCAATGGCCTTCGACCACGGCCTCTCTGTGTCCCGTGGCAGCCCGAGGGCCAGGCCCACCTGATGCGCCCAGGACTCTCCTTCCCGGCCTTTGAGTTCACGAGCTGCTGCCCTACGGGTGCAGAGCGCAGGGACCTTGGCACAGACAGGTGCCTGTGTCCTCTCAGTGTCGGCGTCCATGAGGGTCCCAGTGCCACCCTGATGTTTGCACTAATACAGACGGGCAACTTGAAGCCACCCCTGGTGAGAAAGCAACAGAATGAGCAGGAGGTGGCACAACCCACTAAAGCCACCTGACTACCACTTACCGGATGTGAAGGCAAATCTGGGTCGGTTCCAGCTCCTCCGCCCCTGCATGCTGGGCCCACCTGCCCTGGAGCCACCTGCCCTGGGCCCACCTGCACCCTGGGCCCACCTGCCCTGGAGCCACCTCTGGAGAGGAGTGGGGTCCCCCCCCCCCAGGCTCCGTGGTGTGGACATTTGAGGCGGGCGCCTGCTGCTCTGAGCTGCCAGACGGGACTCTGCCGGGAGCAGCACGGGATCAGCCACCGGGGCTCGGCCCGCTTTCCA